ATGACTCTGGGTTCGGGAGAGTAAGAAAAATGTCTCTTGATGCACTGTCTCTATGTCACTATGCATAATTCTGTACAACTCTGTCTCCCCTTACTCATCTTTTTTCTGTTAAACAATTCCAATTGTTCTAACCTTTGCTTACAGAAGACTTGCTCTAGTTCACTCATCAATTTAGTTGTCTTCTCTTCACTTTTTTCCAGCTCTATAATATCCTTTCCAGGCAGTAACTGGAACTGTATACAATATTATAAGTGTGGTCACACATAAATTTATATGAGGGGAGTATGATATTGGCCATTTCATTTTTAGTTCATTTCCTCATTATACCTAACATGGAATTTGACATATATACAACATTTGTACATTGAGATGACATTTTCATTGAACTGTCTACCACAAGCACAAGATCAATTTCTTGGTTAGTCACCACTAGTTCAGATCCCATTTATACTTGGAGTTGGGGATGTTTGCCCCAACTTTTTCTAGGCTTGTTTATATTGAACAGCATTTGGTATTCTGATGCTCATTTTCTCAGTTTGGAGGGATCCTTTTATAGTGCTTCTCAATCTCTTTTGGTTTTAACTAACCTAAATAATTTGGTATCATCTGCAAACTTGGCCACTTTCCTGTTCTCTCCTAATTCCAGATTATTTACAAATGCATTGAAAAGCATTGGTCAATACAGATACCAGTGGAACACCCGGGTTTACATCCATCCATCAGGAGAAATGATCATTTATTTCTGCTTTCTGCTTTCTTTTCTTTAACTAGGTCCTGATTCATAAGAAGGCCTCTCCTCTTATTCCATGACTACTAAGTTTGCTCAGGACTCTGGTGAAGAACTGTATTGAAAGTGCTGTGGACATCCAAATAAATAATGCATGCCATATCATCCCTGTTCACATATTTACTGACATTCCTAAAGAACTCTAAAATTGTAGTTAGATAGGAGTTGCTGTGCAGAAACCATTTGATCATTTCTCAACAGTATTTATCCTTCTACATGTTTCCTTATTTTATCTCACTTTAATTTTCACTTTATCTAATACTTTCAACCAGTTTACTCACAACAGAAGTTCAGCTAACTGGCCTATGATTTCCCAATCCCCATTCCCCATAGAGAAGGCATTTTTAAAAAATTGCATAGGTCATTCTCCAGTGTTCAAGTACTTCGGCTGATCTTAGGAACATATTACATATTTTTGTGGGAAGACTGGCAATTTCATATTTAAGTTCTTTAAGAACTCTAGGATGGATACCATCTGGGCCCAGTGAATCCAATTTTTAATTTGCACATAAGGCTGTGAATTTTCTCTTTTGTCATCACTTTTACCTTAGTTCCTCAAACTCTTTTCCTGAAAACATCAGTTCACAAGTACAGGAAACTAGCTGCTCTGTATCTTCTACAGTGAAGACACATTAAAAGAATTTATTCGGCTTTTCCTCAGTGTCCTGATATTCCTTTCATACTCATCTAATTTTCCTAGTTGGTTTCCTGATTCTTATATAATATTTAAAGAATTATTTATTTGCTGGCCTTAATGATATTAGCAACATAATCCTCGATATGCTTTTTGCACCTATTGTTTGCTTGCATCTCCTTTGTCCAAACTTTTGATCCCCTTTGCTTTCCTTACTTGGGCAAGACCTCCATTTCCTGAAGGAAGCCTTATTTTCTCTAATATGTTCCTTGACCTTACTCATTAACCAAGATTGATAACCCAAGGAATACATTCTAGCTGAGCTTCTATGAATGTGGTTTTAAGTTAACCTCCAAGCATTCTGTAAGGATTTAACAGTCCTATCTCTCCCTTTCAACTTCCCTTTTTTACTTAGTCTGTCATTTTAGAGGTTTCCTCTGTTGAAGACAAATATGATACTGTTAGACTTCCTTGACAATTTTCTACTTAAATGTATGCTAATATACTGGACCCAGAGAATAAGATTTTCAGGATGGAGAAACACAGAGTTGACTATAACGAGAAAGATAATTCAATAAATTCAAGACTGTCAACAGTTTTTAAAACTGAAGCTGGTTGCTTGCTTTGTTGTAAGAATATTGCTAATTCACCTAATTACATGTAACTTTAATATTGTAATCCAACCAAGAATATTATTGATACATCCATATGGTTACTATAATAACTGTAACAGTATACATTGAAGGGGGCCACTTTAAGAGGTTTTCAGAACAAAGAAAGTGTGACAAACATAATGAAGCAGCAGTAGCAGATGCAATTGTTTAAGGCATTTATCAAGTGTTGTCAGGATGCATTTTCTATGTAGCATTTTGGAACAGAAAATGAGCCCCAAGTTAATGATGAGGCCAAGCCAGATCCTTCATTATGAATGGATGAATGCAAAGATTGAGAAGAAAGTTTCTACTGTTACTAAGCTTCCTTGACAAATGAAACAGGTGCATTATTCTAGTTTTTCTAGCATATTATAAAGCACATTTAAAAGAACTTTGACATCCAAAAATGCACCCTCTAGATGTTGATGTAGTTTTAAGGTGACTAAGCTGATTGCATACTCCTATTAAGTGAAGTTCAATTTTGCCTCATTTAATTAAAAAGAAAATGTTGTATTACACTGGGAATATCACCACATGAAAATCTTCCAGAACAGAGACACTGTAGAGGTGCAGAACGCACATGTGTGATTCAGAGGGACCACAAAGAAGAACCTCACCCTAAAAAGATGTGGAAAAAGGTAACCAAACTGATCAAGGGGCTGGCATAACTCCCCCGTGAGGAATGTTTATACAGTTTGGAGCATTTTACCTTAGGATGAGTAATGGGAAATATATGTATAAAATCATGTACAGTGTGGAGAAAGTCTCAGAATATTAGAAACCAGGGTCATGAAGAGAAATAATGGGAGATTAAGGACAGAAAAAAATGCTTCTTCACATAGTGAATAGTTTAACTATGGAATTCACTACTTTAAGATGTGGTGAAGAATTGCTAAGAGAGGTGGCTTGGGAAGTGGATTAGGCAAATCCATGGAAGATAAAGCTATTAGAGTTATGACGGCTGCATATTACTCCCCGCATCAGAAACAATATGTCTCTGTATACCAATTGCTAGGGAACATGAGCAGGAAAGTGTTACAAAATTGTAGAATAATAGATTGGAAGGGGCTGGAGGGCCATCAAGTCCAATGCTGTAGCCAACTGCGGATCCATCTATTCATTGTTCCATCTAGCCCACCATCTACTGTTATTGCTAATCAGGATATCATGGGGCACTTTGTCAAAAGCTTTGCTAAAGTCAAGATAGAGTATGTTCACAGAATTCCCAAACTCCATTAGGGAGGTTACCCAATTAAAAACAAAACAAAACCAGATTAGTCCTGCAGGATGTGTTCTTGAGAATTCCATGTTGGCTTCTGATAATCACTGCATTGCTTTCATGTTGTTTGCAGCATGACTGCTTTACGATCTGTTCCAGAATTTTCTCAGGGATTGATGTCAGACTAACTGATCTGTAGTTCCCAGGTTCATATTTTTTTTCTATTCTTGAAGGTGGGGACAACATTAACCTTTCTCCAGTCATCTGGCACTTTCCATCTCAGAAGTGGTTCTGCGACTTCTTCTGCCAGCTTCTTTATGACTCCAGGATGCACTTCATCAGGCCCTGGAGATTTGAACTCATTGAACCCAATTAGATGATCCTTGACCATTTACCTATCAATCTTGGTCACAGATCTTTTGGGAGAAGGCTGAGCTAAAATAGGAAGTGAGCACTTCCACCTTTTGGCATATGTTATCATTTTGCCGTCCAAATTGAGTACTTGAACCCTCATTACTTTCCTCTGTCTTTCACTTTGGACATATGTAAGGAAAGCTTTTTTGGTTGCATTAAGCAACCCTCGCTTTAGCTTCCTGATTCCTTCCCTGTTTTCAAATCATCTCTAAGCTTTTCGTGAAGCCACATGGGCTTCTTCTGTTGTCTTCTTCCCTTTTTCCTTGTTAGAACTGTTTGTAATTTTTTAATCTTTTGTAAGCCGTCCTGAGGCTTATTGCAAAGGACAGGACAGAAATGTTTTAATTGAATTAAAATTTAGAATTTCCCTTTTCAAAAATTCCCATCATTTTGGACTCCTTTCCTTATTTGACTCACTTGCCATGGGACTTATTATTGTTCTGAGTTTATTACAATTGGTTTTCTTGAAATTGTGACATTTGGCTTTTGCTTCTTTTAGAATCAAGAGTACACGTATGGCATGCTCATTTTCCCGGAGAATTCCTGTAACTGCCATTCTGTCCACTAGGTCTTCCCTGTTGGTTAGTATCAAGTAAAAAAAAGTCATTCTTATTCTTTCCTCCACTTTCTGTTGGAGGAAATTATCAGCAACACAGTTAGGAATCTCTTGGAGGGGTCATGTTTGGCAGAATTTCTCTGCCAACAGATATTGTGGAAATGGAAGTCTCCCATAACAACCACATTGTACCTCCTTGAAACACTGGCAAGTCACTTCTCATCCTCATCTTCTCCTTGACTGGATGGTCAGTAATAGACTCCAACAAGACTTTTATTCCTTGCTCCATTTATATTAAGCCAGCTGCTCTCAATGGGTCTACTATGCGGTGGTGAGGAGCGCCTTCCTTCAGCTTCGGCTGATTAATCAGCTGCACCCCTACCTGGAGTACGACTGCCTGGCGACGGTGACACACGCGCTGGTGACTTCCTGCCTAGACTTCTGTAACGCGCTTTACGTGGGGCTTCCCCTGAA